TTTTGAGTTTTGCCGTACACGCTCTTATCAAACATACTGTATATACTTTTGTGGCACAATTTCTATCTGTTTATTACCCTTCTTCCAAATGGAAAGCATTTGCTCTAATTTCCATAATATAAATCGATTCAACATAAGATCTGCATTCTGACAACGTATAAAGTGAAAAATATTAGGTGGATTCTATACTGTCACATAGTTAAACTCTAATTCCTGTCGTGAGGTTCGATAGTACGTATTTCACCATTGAAAATTTTTAATCGGCATGTTAAAGATACCCGCGAAAAAATTAAGAAGTAATGCTATAATAATCACATTTTTTATTTTTTTATCATTTTTGCAACAAAACTTGAAAAACATCTTTAAAACTTGGTGAGAGAAAAAACGGAAATTGTAATGATTTCTTGAATACCGATAACGGTAATAAATTACTTTTAAGACGTGCAACATACTCAGTGAGAAGTTACTTTTTAAAAGTAACTTTCAAAACTCTGAGTATACGATTATCCTCTCGTTCATTGTCAACGTCACAATTCCTACGACAGCTAAAAGTACATAAAAATCCGTTTATACTTATTCGTCTAGTGGAACAGATCCTGATCCTCTTCCCCCTTTTTCTCAGTGCAAATTCTTTCATTTAATTATATAGTATTTTACGTTAACCGCGAATCGGATACGGAAGGAATAAGTAAAAACAGACTTTAAATAAATCCTAAAGTAAAATATATTCGAAAAAAACTAAGGCAAAGTCTGACTGCTCATAATTCGTTTTATTATTCAATTTCCCTTTCGATAGAAAAAATTTTTTAAGCGTTTATATGTAAATAGCATAAGAATTTTTGGAAGCTTTAAAATTCCAAAGGTTTTCAGAAAAGTTTTAGAACTTCTTTATATTAAATTGACGTGTCCCGAATGTCTTTTTCTGAAAACAGCTACAACAGGTAATAATAGCCCAAATGGTTTTGGTGAAAACGATGCAGCAGGTACCCAGACAAATCGGGACATAAGACGTCTTCAAGTTAGAAAATTCTGCCCTTTCAAAAATCCACACGTTCATGGTGAAACAATGTTTATGATTGTCCTTGAAGCAGCTGAAAGAAAGAAATTTATGGCCGCTTTTTGGAAGAGAAAATTTTTTCTATGGTAACAAAAATCATGGCACTACACTGAGAGAAAAATTATCTTAAAATCAACAAATACTTCCTTAGTGGCTGCCATTAACATATTTACTTAAATCTACATTCTCTTTACTTAAATCAAATATTGTTTATTTAAGGGGGGAAATCCAATTAGAACTTTCAAAAAATCGAATTTTTTTTTTTGCATAAAATGTTTATTTAACATTGTAAGAATATGTTCCCAACGTTTTAAATCGAAATTCGCAGCCGTTCGGAAGTTATGGCCTCCGAGCGCAACAAATCTCTTGAGCAGCGTCGAGGCTCTAATAGCACGCAGCAGGTATACTCACCCGGAGCGGGGATTTTACCTTTCAGGGCTGCGATCCAAAACGTATAGAGATGTAATTATAGTTTTACTGTAGGTTTTGGAACGCACCCCTGGTAGATGGCTTTTATTTCTATTGTTACGTTTAGTCGAAACCGTTGGGTCCGTTGGCGCTGGCATCGAGCAGAACCGGTTTTCAGTTTAGCTCCGAAGTTCGGCCTGTACAAAACGACAGTGCAAATTCGAAATGTCCTATCCGAAAGGCACACACGCCGAACCAAAACAATCGAAACCACGCAAAAGAAAGTTCCATGGTAATCAGTTTTCAAATAAAAAGAGTGAAGATGAAGGATGTGAAAGTACGAGTGCAAGAAAACTCTCCAATGCTAGTGCTGAAGATATTCACTGGAATCCATTGCATGGCTATCGTTTGATTGAAATATTCACCGTTTTTACAGCCTTGACAGAGCTCCTTGTTTGTCGTGTTTGTAAACAGAATGTAAAGTTTGAAGAAGCTGGGAATCGAGGCCTCGGTTTCAAGATAGTTTTACTTTGTCGCTGTGGTCAGAGAAACATCAATTCAGGACCACTAATCAACACTGGATACGAAGTGAATCGTCGGATGGTGTTTGTTATGCGACTCTTAGGTGTTGGCAGAGAGGGTATTAATTTATTCTGCAACCTCATGGACATTTGTAAAGGAATGAATGAGAGCACGTATAATAATATCATCACGTATATTCACTCCTGTACAAAATCTGTTTTTGAAAGTCTCTGCAAGAAAGCTATCGAAGAAGAAAAAAAATTCAATGAAGAACATGAGAGGTCTATTTTAGATTTGAAAGTCTCTGGAGATGGCTCGTGGAAAAAACGTGGATTCAAATCGCTGTACGGAGTTGTAACGGTCATAGGCTACTATTCGGGCAAAGTCATCGATTTAGTTATCAAAAGTAGCTATTGCCATGCATGCACATTTTGGAAAAAAAAGGTGAACACTCCAGAATACGAAGAGTGGTATATAAATCACGAGGAAGAGTGTACAAAAAATCACGAGGGCTCAGCCGGAAAAATGGAGGTCGATGCGATTACAGAAATCTTTTTAAGATCAGAGGAAAAGTACGGCGTTAAATATGGTAATTATATTGGAGACGGAGACTCCAAAACTTTCAAGGCCATTCTAGATAAGAATCCTTACGGTGATGAATTTCAAGTTGCAAAAAGCGAATGCATTGGCCACGTAGAGAAAAGAATGGGCACTCGGCTCCGAAATATAAAAAAAACACAAAAACTCGGTGGTAAGGGCAAACTAACGGATGCTTTAATTAAAAAGCTCACAACGTACTATGGTCTGGCAATTAGAAGAAATGCGAATAGTATTGAGGGAATGAAAAAAAGTATTATAGCCACTTATTACCATTTGATCTCTACGGATGAGAAGCCACAGCACGAATACTGCCCGCCCGGCGAAGACAGCTGGTGTAAGTGGCAGAAAGAAAAAGCTATTGAAGCAAATTTGGATTCTTTTGAGCACCCTCCTCCACTCGATCCAACAGTCGCAAAACACATTCTTCCAATTTATGAAGATTTATCTAAGGAAGAATTACTTCAGAGATGCTTGGGCAGTCATACGCAGAATTCAAATGAAAGTTTCAATTCTACGATTTGGCGTTTAGCTCCAAAACATCTTAATTCTGGGCTGAAAATAGTTGAAATTGCATCCTACATCGCTGCTGGAGTCTTCAATGAAGGATATTCTTCCATTCTACAAATTATGATGGAGTTACAAATAATTATTGGGAGCCAGACCAAGCACTATGCTGAGAACGTCGACGGGCGCCGGGTATCTCGACAGGAGCGGCGCAACTCTTTCAACTCTAAAGAAGCTCGAAAGGCCAGAAGAGAGCAGTTATTGGAGCAGAACGAGTTCTTCGAGGAAGCAGAAGGATTGTTCTATGGCGCCGGGATTGCTGACTAAGAGGTAAATTATAGATATCTTGTATCTTTTACTTGTCAAAACTTTAAACACGTTTTTCTCAAAACTGTACTTTTTTGCACTGCTGGAACTCTCATTTAAAAACTATTCAACCGATCGCGCTGAACTTTCGCACACAACTTCATGACATCAGTACAATGTCGGTGAACCTAAATGTTTGTGAAAATTATAATAAAAAATCACTTATTTATTGCAAAAATTGTGCAGAGAAAACGTCAAAAAATGGAAATTTATTTTCATAAGCGTTTCATATTCAAAATTTTTGACTTTTTTCAATTTTTTTAGGTTCAATTACGAATTATGGGTATAAATAATAAGAATTTTTTCGCTGCCTGTTATAGGATCAATATCACGGACGCCATTTGTCCAGCAGCTGAGCAACTCGCACGCGTACCTGCCAAATGGGATGCTTCATATGTCCGCCATTTTTAAATATTTTTGGAAAAAAAAATACGTATGGACAGTCCAAAACATATATAAATAAATGTTTAAGTTTGAAAAATATAGAAAAATTCTTTCTCCTACAAAAAAATTCTTGAAAATAGCTTATTTTTCCTCGTTCTAATTGGATTTCCCCCCTTAAATCAAGTAAACAATATTTGATTTAAGTAAAAAGAATGTAGATTTAAGTAAATATGTTAATGGCACCCACCAACGAAATATTTGTTGATTTTAAGATAATTTTTCTCTCAGTGTAGTGCGCTTACACTGCAACAGGTAACAATAGCCCAAATGGTTTTGGTGAGAACAATGCAGCAGGTACCCAGACAAATCGGGACATAAGACGTCTTCAAGTTAGAAAATTCTACCCCAAAAAAACACACGTTCATAGTAAAACAATTTTTATGATCGTTCGTGAATCAGCTGAAAAAAGAAATTTATGGCCGATTCTTGGAAGAGAAAATGTTTTCTATGGTAATAAAAATTATGGCATTAGTGCGCTTACACTAACTTACTTCCACTATCCGCTATAGTTCAGCCAATGAAATTTGTTCTTACTATCGACACGCCGTTTGCCACCAATACTCTCCTATCCTGCCCTACCACCTACCTCTCGTACGAAAAGTGGGGCCGAAGATGTAAAAACTTTGCCTGGACAAAATTTCTTTTGACACACAGTGCAAAGTGCCAGTTCGTTGCGTCGCAAGCTTCACACAAAATCCACGGAACGATCCACAGAGCGATCTACGCAGATATTACGAAAGTCTTCTGGGATTAAATTTCTGTCTTTCACGAAGAATTTGGTAAATAACGATCTTCGTTAAACTTCTAACTGCATAGTGTTTTAAATGTTTAAAATATTGAAGAACAAAGTATTATAAAAAGGTGTGCAGGTTTATTTTACGTCAATAAAAGAAAAAATTGGACAGTAAGAGCCAAAGCACTGTTTATTCGGTGCCACACATGTAAATTCAAATTCTTCTAAATTGAAAGACGCGGAGACATAATCTGACGCAGAGACGTAAACATACGCGTTTCGGCCACTGATGGCCCTCTTCAGTGTTATATAATTTCCGTAATGATTTACAAACAAAATTTTGCTTAACGTCGTGAAGATTGACAGGAGCGCAGTAGATTTATGGCGCGCTCTCGCACAGGTGGAGGCTGATGCTAAACATAGGAGACCCACGTTTCATACTCCCATTTAGAAGGTAGGAAGCACGACTTAATGTATTCCCACTATGCAGTTCTTAAGGAGCCGTCAATTTCCTAAGGACATATAATAAATAGAGGACTGACGAGTGGGGACATGCACAAAAAAATAATCAAGTCAAATATGATAGAAAAAATGTCAAGCGTACAAAAAAAGTCAATATATAAATAAAATTCCTGTCAATCCCTGCACACGCAATCAAATTCAAGAGTCATTTTAAATCGCACGGTTGTAATTACCAATTAATTCAGTGTCTTTCTGAGCATTTAAAGCATTAGTGTGATTCTATATGTGGCACATTTCCGCAATTAATCTTTTGTAATAAGATCGCTCTCTATGCAAAACGTTAACATTTGCCCAATCGAACTCATGGTTCTCATTAATACGGTGATTCTGCACTACAGTGAGATCTTGCAAGTTAATTATAGGAACTCTCATACGTTCCTTGTCCCGTGTTGACAATTTGCAACCTGTTTGGCCGATATAAACAACGTCGAACTATGTACAATCAGCTTTATAAACTATATTTCTTATCGACCCAATAGGCAACTCATCTTTCTGTGCTCTAATTATATATGATAATTTATTGGAACATTTATATGCAATTTTTAATTATTGTTTGCCGGTAATGATAATTTGATTCGCTCAGAGATATGTTTTATGTAAGGTAACACAAAAAAGCCACAAGGCTGTGACACATCAACGCCCGCAGTATCATTGGCGCACCTATTGTATTTACTGAGAAGATATGATATATGTTTGTTCATAGTTTCAAAAATAAAATTAATTGGATATCCGTTATCTAATAAAATATTAATTACCAGAGTCAAATTTTTTGGGTGAAAGGAAGGATGGCTCAGTAAAAAAGCTCTGTCCACCATATCAACAATCGTGCCTCTCTTCTGGCACGTGGGATAATAAGAAGAGTAGTTCAAATAATGCTCGGAAAAAGTAGGCTCATGGTACCAATCTAAAACAATCCTGTCATCCTTTATGAGTAGTTTAATAGTATTATACTATAGTATTTTTAGTTTCGAGAACATTCAATCTGTTATTCTCACTCAATTGCATCGTAAATTGAAGGCGCGGATGTAGAGAATTGAAAAGAAACAAAACTTTTTTGACAAAAAGTTACGGAGCAGCCATACAGATGTCATCGACATATCTTATATAAAATGGTAAAGCTACCGGAATTACTTTTTGGGCCTTTTCTTCTATCCTCTAACACAATATCCGCTATTATTGGTGAAAGAGGAGAGCCCATTAGAGTTTCAAAAGTTTGCTGGTATACCGTTCCCCCAAAAATAAAGAATGTTAAGTTTAAAACAAATTCCACCGCAATCAAGAACTCATTCAACAGAATATCCGTAGCTTTTTGTATGTGTGCCTATCTCCTGCGAATGCTATTCAAAGTCAAGTCTCTTGGTATGTTTGTAAATAACGACATAACATCTAAGGAAAGCAATGTAAGGCTGCTATCTATGCTTCTATTAGCTAATTTATTATAAAGCTCGAAACTATTTTTAATTTTACTCTTGATGGTATGTCATCACCTGTGCGGGCGCCGAGAGCACGCCATAAATCTACTGCGCTTCTGTCAATCTTCGCGGCGTTAAATGAAATTTTGTTTGTAAAAATTTACGAAAATTATATAACACTGAAGAGGGTCATCAGTGGCCGAAACGCATATGTTTACGTCTCTGCGTCAGATTATGTCTCTGCGTTTTCCAATTTAGAAGAATTTGAATTTACATGTGTGGCACCGAATAAATAGTGCTTTGACTATTACTGCCTAATTTTTTCTTTTATTGTCTTAAACAAAATAGAACCTAATAGTTTTAATTATTTATTTTACGTTTTTCATAATGCGATAATCATACCGCGGTCACGTGCATCTCGACGAATGACTGTAGATTGATGCAAAAGTTTTAATAGTGTTTATTATTTGTTTTATATATATTGGCAGTCATCAATATTACACAACTTATCATTTTATTCTACTAAATTCTTGTAAAAAGTTTGTGTATTAAAAAATAAATTGGAAGTCAGATTTTCATTTGATTTATAAGATATATGAGAAAATACAGAGTCGAAGTTTTGTCCATTTTATTTGTAAAAATTATAAATTTTTCGGAATGGAATAATTTCGTTTTTCTTATATTATTTTATATTATTTACTATTATATCGACAAGAGAGGGCTCTCTTGCCAATAAAATAACAACTTCTAAGACCTAAAACATTCGGTCATTAAAATCCTATTTATATAGTCCATATTGATGATTATAAAGAAAATTAATTTTCTTACATATCTGGTGTCCGAATGCGTGATATATACTCCTTGATGTTTATTGAATTATATTTTAATTTGCTCACTGATTATTTTTCAGTGGTAAAACACCTTTTTCTGTATTAAACGATGGAACAACAGTCGGAATCTAATCAGTCGAAAAATTGGTACCCGCGCACTATTTTCAATCGTAGTTATCACAACTATGCAGTAGTTGTGATGGCTCGATCTATATATTGGGAACCAAGGAAAATGTTTGAAATATGGAAAGAAGGTAAATAGACTACAATTGTATTATTTGTGCTTATAACATTTTTCATGCATATATATTTTTTCACTTCTCGCGGTGTTAGATATTTTGATAACTAAACTAATAATTGTCTTTTTTTTAATTCGTTCCCCAAGTAGAACGCAATATAATAGTCAAAATATAATAGTCAAAATAACGTCAAATAATATAAAAGTGATGTCATTTTGACGTCAAACGATACTATTTGCATGACAATTTCATGACATTGATGTTAAAATGATATTATCTTGACACCAAAATGATTTTGTGTTCTACCTGGGTCCATGCCGGACTAATTTCATATGACTAGTCTATGATACGTGAACCATCGGTAGCTTACGTGGCACAGATCGTGTTAGATCTATGAAATTTTCTTGAAATCTTGTATTTTCCGTATTAACATCTCTAGAGTTTATTAACAAAAAATACTTTATTTTTAATTACATACAACTGGAAATCTACTTTTCCGCCTACGTTTGTATGAAAGAAAAATTGATGGAAAAAATAATATAACTTTTTTTTCTTACATAATTAGCTGTACTCACCGTTACTGTAAATGGTGGAATATATAGCTGGATACAGTACTTGGAGAATGCAGGAATAGACATATTCAGCGGCCAGTATAATGAATACGTGCCCAAAATTATTATTGCAAAAAGGATGGATAGAAGTATACATGCTCCACTGACCATGATCGACAAACTGAAAAGTCTAGGCTCCAGGGTTATCTATCTACCTGGTCAGAATCGCAAGGAATTTACCAGAACATTGAATTGCATCGCAGATTTTGCCCATGACTCGAATATGACCGTAATTTAATTTTACTAATTTTCTATACCTTTTTTATAAATATTATGATTATAAATATAGATATTGCTGTGCTTTTGTATATTACAAACTTGAAATATGATGTACTATAAAATGAACAATTCTGTTAACAGTTAAGAGACATGTACGCATTTGCGGAATCGGAAGCAAATTTTCACAACGTCCAAGTCATAGAGACGTTACGTGTAAGCGACGGAAATATACGCAATATAGAGGTAATCATACACTCCTATATTGGTCTAAATTTAATTTTTGACAAAATAAATTAAAATTAGATGTTGAATTTTCTGTTTAATAAATACGTTTAATAGATTTCCTATGTTGAATGTCCTCATGAGAATCTTCTTTTTTTACAGATTGTAATAGTTTCAAGCTTTTATTTCTGCTGGATGTTACGACATGGTTTGCACAAAATACGTGTAGAGAATGGAGTCGACAAAAATATGGTGATTACCATATGCAGTTTTTTACCATTTAACTCTTGCGTAGTCAATAATCTCACAACAACCGGATTGCAAACCAATTTCAGTATGTATCACACTTTTAATTTGTCCCATCTTTAAGCTACGCATTAATAATACGTTTTTCATTATATTGTTGCGCTTGCTCGCGCAATCATATCTGGGAGTAGGCAAAATTATGCTTCCGATGGAGCATAATTTATGGCAATTATACTCCATTGGAAAGAACATGCCAAGTATGGTTTGAGCGATTTAAGAGTGGTAATTTTGATGTCAATGATAAAGAACACTCAGGCCAATCGAAAAAATTTGAAGACACCGATTTGCAGGCATTATTGGATGAAAACTCTACTCAAACGCTCCAAGAATTGTCTGCAGCATTAAATGTTACTCCGATGGCTGTTTCCAAACGTCTACATGCAATGGGAAAAATTCAAAAGGAAGGAAAATGGGTACCACACGAATTAACCGCAAATGCCATTGCAAATCGCTTAAACATCTCTATTTCTTTGCTCGCCAGGCAGAAAAAGAAGATTTTTTGTGGCGCATAGTGACTGGCGATGAAAAATGGAATACTTCGATAATCCTAAACGAAGAAAATCATGGGTAGACCCTGGCCAACCATCGACATTCACACCAAAGAGAAATATCCATGGCCACAAAGCAATGCTTTGCATTTAGTGGGATATGCACGGCATCGTTTATTATGAGCTACTCAGACCGAACGAAAGTATCACGGGGGATCGATATCAATCACAATTAAACCTGAATGAAGCATTGTTGGAAAAAAGGCCAGCAGTAGCTAGCAATCGACGTAAAGTCATGCTTTTGCACGACAACGCTCGACCACACGTTGCCAAAGCCGTCAAAGAAACACTGATGCAGCTCGAGTGGGAAGTTCTCCCGCACCCAGCGTATTCACCAGACTTAGCTCCTTCGGACTATTACTTGTTCCGGTCGATGCAGCACGGCTTGGTGGATACACACTTCAGAAATTACGAGGATGTGCGAAAATGGGTCGACGAATGGATTGCATCAAAAAACCAATCGTTCTATCGTCGCGGAATCTACGCGTTGCCCGAAAGATGGGAAAAATGTATAGCTATCGAGGGAAAATACTTCGATTAATGTATTTTTTGCTTTTGATATCGAAATAAATGAGTTTTTTAAACAAAAAAACCGCAGGAACTAAGTTTACCACCTAATAATAACCGGGACGCGCGAGAGTCCCGAAAATAAACTTCTTATTATCGAATACGAGTCGAGTCATTTTCGCCTTCTCCTGACCCATCCCGTTTCCGACTTGAATCCTTAGGAGCTACCGGTCCCGACGGTTCCGAGACACGCGAATTTTGTGAAACCTATCGCCTCTCACGTGTATCGAGATGGTGCGGCCTTCCGCACCTGGCGCCCAACTACCGTTCGCGTTTTCGTGGCGTGAATCGGAGCCGACGGCAATTTGCCGACGCGGTTGACAGGCGACTGTTTGCCGTCGCTCGCGAATTAATTTTGCGAGTACCGTCGCAGTGGTTATTTGCAAAATGACTTCGATCATTCGTTCCAGCTTAATGTTTTCATGCATTTTTGGTTATAGATACAACTTGCGTCAGACTCTATATAATAGAGAATATTATAAAATAAAAGAATTTTTTTTCAGGATTTACGCAAAATTGCTTAAACGCATTTTAATATTACTGTTAAGGATTGGATCGGATAGATTCGCGATCGCTTTTATGTCTCGCGTGCACGTTTCAGAGTCGGGCAGCGTTAAGCTCCGTCCCTGAGCGCGAGACGTCGCGTTACGCGCAGCATTATCTCCCTCTCCAACTCTTAAACGCTTACTTTGTCGCTCTCGTTATTTAATCTCTCGTATTTGTTTTTTCGACTACTACCGTTTCGAGCGAGATTCAAATAACTAACGCGGAGCGATTATACCGTGTCGATCAGCGACTATTGACGAGCTCTGCTAGACTTTCAGTTTTGCCGAATCGATCGGCGAATCAGTTATTTCAATATCGAGTTGGGTTGCAGCTATCTCTCTGCACGCTGAGTCCGATTAATTTTGTACGGTGCTTTGCCGGTATCTCGCGTATTGTCCGTTGACGTGCTCGGTGAACAACATACGGCAAACTGATTAGTGACCTGCAGCGAAACGTCTCAAGCAACTTGGCCTTTGGACAGCTGCGGATGCACTCACCACAGTCGACATCAGACCGCCGTACATTTCTTGAAGATCGCCGGCGATGATTTTAATTTTCAAATTGTCGATCGATTGTCATCGCTCTAGGTCATCGATTTCGCCGAGCGATACAAAAACCTATTGTTTACATCACGTTGTAAGAAAGCTAAAGAAGTCAGTAAACGCTTTCTTCAAACCTTTCAACGGTCAAACAACGACAGAAATCAGCTCGCTCTTTCCGCTCTTTCCCTATCTTTAATATCTTGTTCCTAGTGTCTCAAATTATATTCTATCGTCCGTCCCGTTTCCCTTCTATCGTCTTCGCGCTCTTGTCGGAGCGATCCGGAATTTTCACTCTCCTGAAGGGAATTCTCTCGGGAATTCTCGAACAAAACAATTACATATAAACAATAAGAAAATAAAATATAATTATTGTATATTTTAATTAATATGAATAATACATATGTATTAATATAATAAAATTTAATAATAATTAATTTTATTATTATATAATAAAAAATTTTTCATTAATATTACCAATAATATAATTTTCAATGCTCCTCAAATATTGTTGCAATATTGCAAAATATCATACTTTTATATTTTTATTATAATATTTATATATTTTGTTAAATATTTAAAAATTTTATATAAAATATATGTGAATTTATATTTCAACACTTTTTTATAATACTATGTAACAACCGTACTCGCGTGTCGGTTGTCTAATGAAGTGCAAGGAATATCGCTCGTCGGAGTCCGGGTTCGAGAATTTAGTGACACCAGCAATTAACAAAAATAAATAAAAGTTTATTTGAATCTTGGTATACAGAGCACTTTTCGGAACTTCACGTATTTCGGCGTAAGGCGGCGCCAGTAATCGGGTCACGCTTTCAATCGGCAGCGGCTCACAGTTCGGTAGGCGGAGCATATAACGCGAAAGCGGTGTGTCGCTAGAGACGGTGTCGACAAATTGAGATTTCACAAACCGCTGACAAGTCGGCTGCCGCGAGGGGCCCGGCGGTAACGTCGATGTTATCGCGTCTGATAGCACGCGGCGCGATATATCGGGTGACTCGCTTGTCGCTGTCGCAAGATATGCAAGTATCGACAACGTTCGATCGAGCGTAGCGAACACACTGGCAAGTGGACTTGCAATTCGGGTCGGGATACGATCG